GAGTAACACACTGCGTGAGCAGATGCATTATCATGGTGGTAAAATCTGTCCACAAATCAGGCCATTATTGTCATACACTGTTACTCTTTTCAGAATCTCTAAATAGAAAGCTTGATTAACAATCTGACTTGGTGGAACAAACTCCAAATTCAATATTTCCCTCTCATCAAAAAAACAAATGAGCATCATCTTGATCTTTGATTTCACTTGACAAGCTTTTTATGGATAGGGTGACCATGGTGCCTGGCACTGGCTTGATTGATATTTGCTTTCGGGGTCATAAGAATATCAGAACGGCCTTGTAATGACTAGTAGTGGCCTTAGGAAAATGTCTGGGTTGCTTCAGAGCTGTTTTTTCCAAGCAAGGCATATTTCTGCTCAAAGCTCTTTTTCTTGGTCAGCCAGAACCCGAGGGACATATTTCACAAAGACCCTTGTCATGTTCCAAGCTTCTGTTAAAATCCACTGAGCCAAGTTCTGAGACCTTTCAGACAGCTTCTCCTCCCATCTCATCAAGGGTCTGCTACAGGTCTCTGAGCACAAACGCAGACACCTTGTTGACATTTTCGTCTGTTCGGGAAGTTGACAGACACCCAGAATGAGGTTTGTCATCGATCGACATTTCACCTTCATGGAAATGAGAAAACCACTGATATGCTTGAGTTTTTCCCATAGTGCTGTCCTTGTAAGCTGTGTTCAACATCACAACAGTTTCTGTGGCATTTTTCCCAAGCAGGAAACAAAATTTCACATCAGCACCCTGTTCTCTTAAATCAGCCATCAAAAAAAAAAAACAAACAAACACCAAACAACCCACAAGTGAAACTGCTTTCATGACAAGATTCACTCAAATAATGGACAAAATTGTCCATAATTTAATGATCTGAAAATTCACTGTGACCGGAGAGAACCTTCCCAGGTCCCGCTACTGGGTGCACTAACTTGAGGAGTTGCTCACTGCTGGCCTAGTGGGAGAAATGAGTGCTACGAAAGCTCCCCCAGCGGAGCTTTTATCCCATTTTTTTGGGGTGCCCCTCATATATTTTTCATAATAATATCTGACTTTCTTTCTAAAGCTCTTGCTGGATGGACACTGTAGTCTTGGGTACAATAAAGGGTGGCATCAAAACCGAGAAGGGAAACAAACGTACTTTGCAGCTGCCCTGAGTTCCATAACATTTCTTGTCTTCCCACTTCCATCCTCGAATGCTGTCTTATTTCCTACTGTCAAAGTGCCATTGTTGGTAGAGAAGTCGGGGAAACATCTCTGAAGAACTAGAAAAACAATTAAAATGATGGCCATCAATCTTTAAGAAAGTTCTTCCTTCATGATGTCTTTTCTATTCTTAGGCTCTGTTACTAATAATCAACTTCTTGCTACCCGGTGTGTAAACTGTACAGTATAGATAGCTAATTGCCCATTAGTTAACGATCTGAAGACTTTCTGAGAACTCTAATACTGAAAGAGAGAAGAAGTATGATCATGGTCTGAAGCCGCATTCTAAACCTGTTGATATTATTATCAATGATAGCTCCATCAAGTAATCATAGATAAAATGCATAACAGAGGTGTGCATACCAAACTGGCATACAAAACAATGGGCTCTTTATTCTGTTCATTCACAAAATACATTATATAAAGATAATCCCATACATTTCTTGATGCTGCATGTTTTGATGACAAAAACACCTAACCATTTTAGAGGGAAAAAAGGCAAATGGGATGTTAGACATTACTTCTAACTCACTTTGGTTCCTCCTAACTGCCATGCTTTTCTTTTTAATACATATATACTACATTCTTCAATCTACAGAAACATGTACCTTCCATAACAATATATAACTCTCCCTATAGCTTATATACTTTACTTACTGCTCTGATCAAATCTGATCTGATCTTCAGATCTTTAAGTAAGCTTATATGCTTCTTACAAGGTACCCAGTTGATTGAATGCCTGGATGAATTAAAATTTGTTATATATATTAAAAAAACAATTTAGAGACTCTTTGAGCAAAACCTTGAAAACTGGAGCTCTCAGTAAATAATTTTTGGGGAAATATGAATCAGCTCAAAATATATGCTAGACACCATTGCATTGTTGTTTGTAAAGTCTTTGGCTTTTTCATTTTCACACATTTTTAAAAGTAGTGGAAATGGAAATTCTGGAGTTAACAGAAGAGCCTTCCAAGGTATAGGCTAACGTTTCTGAGAATGAATCATGCTCAGTCTTCTGTATACATGTTTTAATTGGATATAATCTTTTCTTTACTGTAGTACTAAAAATATTTTCAAACTAATGAAGATCATTTAAAAAATCATTTTCACATATTTTTTCCTATAGGAAGCATCACAGATTTGGTTAATATGTAGTTTAAATCTAAAAGTATTAACATCTTTGATAAAAGAAATTGGTCTTCATAAAGCTTTTCCTGCCTATTTGGTTTTAAAATAAAACAGACTCAATGATTTGTTCAGTTCACCTCAGCTACTATTACATTTACAAATGTTTTAGTCCTTTTAGTCTCTTCATTTTCTATATCTTTCACTTTTCTGGCAAATTCTTGACACAGTAGCTTCTACGAGCTGCTTCTCTGATCTCTCATTCCAGTCAGTTTCTGCTTCCGCCCTGCCATGTGGAACTGTCATCTAATCTATCCCAATCATCTCCTACTTACAAAACCCTCCAAATTCTCTCTCTTCATTTTTGCTTGAACCCATTACTCATAAGAATGCTCACACCATAGTAGAACTCAGAATATTTGCTGTTGAATGGAATAACTTTCCTAAGTTATTTTGACATAGTAGACATCCCTTGCCATTGGCAATGTCTCTGTTGGTCTATGTGCCCAGATCCTCTCCTGCCCTCCTGCCTTTGTGTACACACTGACCTTGATCTACATAGGACTCCTGGGCAAACTTAACAAATCTGTATGCTGCAATGATTACATATACTCATGGCATATTTCAAAAATGAACTATGAAGAAAAATACAAAATTATTCACAGTCCTTTCATGCACAGTCAACTGTACAAACATGTTGATGAATTTCCTTCATCTTTAAGACATTCAAAACATTTTTTCATATTATACATTACATGAAATGATTCCTCTTTTTCTTAATATTCCTTTTTTAAGTATTTCCTTTTATAAAATTTTTTTCATTGGCTGGATTTCATTCATTACATGCAAAGTATTCCTTTAATTTTAAATATTCTTTGACTTTTTCCCAAAATACTACACTTTTCTTCATCAATCCCCTACTCTGTGGATACAAGTTAAATGTGATGTTTAGCTTGATTTCTCCCTCACTGGATGATAAGATAATATGTTTCATTACTTTTTAACAGTTTTATTGTTATATAATTCATGTACCATATAATTCAATCTTTGACTATATTAGAGAGTTGTGCAATTTTCACCACAATCAATTTTAGAACATTTTCTTCTTTCTTGTACTCATTATTATTACTTCCCCATTTCTCCTCAATCTCCTTGGCCATACCCTAAGAAACTACTAATCTAGTTACATCCCTATAGATTTGTCTACCCTAGACTTCATATAAAGAAAATCATGCATAAACGCCAGCAAAATAAAAAACAGAAAAGCCTCAATCAAAAGAAAACAGAAAATAATAATAAATAAAGCAGATTAAGAATGGATTAAAAGGGAAAACAAATGATGTTAAGTCCTAACCTAAATGTATCTGAGGGCAGGCTTTTTACACCCTGGTCAATGGTCCTAGTGAATTCAATGTAGGCTGATTCTTGGTGGATTTGGGGCTTTCACTGTCTTCCACAGCCTTCTGTAAATGGGTGCTTATTTATGCGCTAATACATTGCCCTTCTCTGATTTTAGATTTTATTTAAAGAAATAAAATAATACTTCATTTAGGAAACATAAATAACTTAAATTTCAAATTTATAAAGACAAATGTATCTCTTTTCCTCTCCCACCTCAGACAATTTCTGAAGAACCTGACGGTTGAATTTAGAGAGATGTCCATGCTTTATGTGTGTCCTTAGTTGGACTGGAAATCAATCTGATTGGAATTTTAAAAATCTATTTTTGTCATGTTTTGTTTATGCGATGCAAACCTAAAATCCTGATCCCCAGTGAAATAGCCCTGGTTGGAGTAAGGAGGATGGGTTTGAACATAATTTTGCCTTCTATTTAAATTTGGAACTTTCGGCCAACCACAGAAACTTCCTTGCCCTTAATCACCTCAGTCATGAAGCAAAGAGACAGAATTAAATAATTTCATGATATGTTCTGGGTTTCTGAGGTCAATTATCAGCTACTTACAAGGTTTGCTTGGAAAAATTGCTGTTGGACAATCTTCTTCCAATAAAATATCTGTGAGAGACTAAAATGGAAGAAAAAGTGTGTTAATAGTTCTGTCTCTGAAATGGCTACTTTTACTTTTATTATGAAAAGACTGTTCTTTAAAAAATTTAATGATCCTAGTTCTCTAAATTACTTTTTCTAGTAATACTGTCAGGTTATCACAAACACATGTCATACACACATATAATAAATATCCTTAAATGTCATAACCCCCATCCAATGGAATTAGCAATAATAAAACTAAACCCCTTGAAACCCAATATGCCCTTGAAATTGTGTTATCTTTGTGTTAGCTACATGCCATTTCCATTTGATACATGCCATCTCCCTGTTTTACTGGAAAAGCAACCTCTCATTTTGAAGACATTAGTATTTCACATATTGAACTTTTTACACAGCTCCCCGCCCCGCTGGCTCAACTCTCAGACCTGCAAAACCGTTTGAGGTTTCTTAAATGAGTGGCTATCAAAGTGGTTTGGGGGCTAAGATTGTACTTGTTACTAAGTAGTCACAGGTCTTCATTACCAGTGAATGGTGAACGCAAAACATCCATCCAAGTTGTGGATGTAAGAGAATCATTAAAATGGGTTTACTAGATACTCCAATTCTACAAAAGAATAGGCCATATACGTATTTGTGAGTGTGTATGTTTTAACTGAGTGTGACCTTTAGTAAATCATAGAAGATATGGGAACAAGTCCAATTAAACCACAAATTATCCTGAAGAGTGAAACACACATCAAAATTCTCCCTCGGCTGAAATTTAAGCCCACAAACCTTCTTAGGTTTAACAAAACTGGATTTGCAGAACTGCTTGTAGTATGCCCAGTGGGTTTGGTTGCTTTTGGTTCTGATTTGCATTTCCACATAGGTTACAAATCTTTCTGGGCAATGGGAGACACAGATCTGACGAGGAAAGGAACACAGTGATAGAAACGGAATTAGTTGAATAAAGTATGGGAGAGTCTTTATATTGCTATATTTTCAAATTATTCATCATAATTAGGAGCAACACAATACTTACCATCCAAGAATGTTAAACCTATTTTCTAATCTTATCATAAAAGATGAAAAGAAATTCCCTGTACCTGTTAACCGATCTCTCACCTGTGAACTTTGAGGTAGTGTTTAAGCTTTACAATAACTGAATTGTTAAAAATAAATAAAATAAAAATAACTGAATTGTTTTAAATTTTAATTTCCAAGTAAACATAGATCACCTACAACTGTGCAAAATAAAAGCAGCATCTCAAATATCTTTCATAGTTTTCCCCAATAGGAAAAACTTGTATAACGATAGTACAGTATCGAAACCAAGAAATTGGCATTGATACAATTTACTGGACTTTTTCAGATTTCATCAGCTTTTCTATGCACTCATTTGTGTATGTGTGTGTATTTTGTTCTTTGCAATTTTTATCACCCATATAGATAAATTTTAATAATAATTTTTTCCTGTAACTTTCTGATTTAAAATTTAAGAGTATAATTTAAGGTTAATTTTGCCAGCATATTTTATTTACAGTCAGACATAGACTCTAGCTTTTCATTGCGTGTATACATAAAACTGATTAAATATGAATATGCTCTGAATATTGATTCTTTATGTTATTAATAATTATCCCTGCTGGTGAATTCTCAACAAAAATTCACAAAACATAATTGGGGTCAGATCGCCAAAAGAAACTAACAAAAGTAGGACTTTCTGTCACAATCAATTATAATCTTTTTTCACCTCCAGTCTGTATGGAGAGAGAGGTCAACAATGCAATTACTTTACATTAATGAACTTTAGGGAGTTATCAGTGCCAAACCAGATCATTATGCTAGTCTACAGAGTCACCCCAGAGCGACTGAATCTAATTAGTAACTCCACGGAGAGGAAACAGAATCAGAGAAGAAGGACTCTATTAGGTTTGCTTTTGTATACAATTAAAAAAACAAAACGAATAAAGCACATATTAAGTTGTAGAGTTCAGGCAATCGCTGTGTGTCCTATCCTCAACCTTGAGTTCTTCTATGTGAAAGCCTCCTCAATCCCGGTTCCCTTCTCCCTGCAGTCCTTTGGTAATTATTCTCACTGGTGTGTATCTGGAAGTTCTGTGTGCAACTAGATAAACCACAGCTACTGAAATGACTTATTGTTTCTATTTTGGGGTCATGGACATTCTGTGTCAACTCTGCATCTAAGTTAGCAGGGGGATGATCAGACAGATGCCTCACATTTCAGTTGAAACAGTAGCAGCAGTCCAAATTCCTTCTAGAAGCTTTGACAAGAAAAAGGGCCATTACCACATTAATATCTACGTATCTATTTTTTCCCCAGAGCCTTTCATAGACACATGTACTTGTTAATATACAATACTCAATCACATATGCCCATAAAAGCAATCTGTCAGAATTCTCACAGGTACATTTCACAAAGGTTGAATAGCTGGTGGAGCCATTCACAGAGCCCAGTATGCCTACGCTGTTTAGAAGAAGGGTAAGGTCATTATCAATAAAAACAAAAGTTCGCCTTAATTGGAGGTAAACTGAATAAGCAAGTAATGGATTGACAGATACCTTATAGATATTAGATTTTGACAATTTAATTAGATGACTACAGAAGCACCTCAGCTAGTTCTCTTACTGTATATATATATAATTTATTAAAAGGATTACCGAAGACAATAATATTTTCAAAGGGATTAAATTATAGTGAAAACAAAATAGGGACCATGATATTTTAAGTATTTATAAATATGAAAGGAGCTTCACAAAATTCATAGAAAAATTCCATTATCTTTTAATTCAGTTTTTCCATTAACTTTTTGAAACCCTTTTGTGTAAATACATACTTTACATATAAACATATGGATTGCAACTCATTGTAAATAAAAAAAGAATCATCACAACTGGACCAATAGACAACAGAAATGTCAAGGATTTCATTTTGTTTGATCCATAACTAATACTAATAGAAGTAGTGGTAAAGAAATCAAGTCATGTATTATGCAGGGCAAATATGCTACAAAAGACCTCTTTGAAATGCTGAAGAGCAAAGATTTCACTTTGAGAACTCAGTGTGATTGACCCAAACCATGATATTTTCAATCATGTCATACTTGTGAAATTTGAACAATGAGTAAAGAAAACCACAAAAGAATTGATGCATTTGAATTATTGTGTTGGCAAAGAAATAACATTGAAAATATCGTGAACTGCCAGAAGAACAATCCATCTCAAAAGAATTACAGTCAGAATGCTCCTTAGAAGTGAGAATGGCCTGTGAAGCTCACCTTTCTGACATGATCATTGAAGCTGAAATGGGTGCATAAGCAAATGTGGTGAAGAAAGCTAATGGTGCCTGGCTATTACAGGATATAGTGTCTGGGGTCTTAAAGGCTTGAAGTTAAACAAGTGGCCATCTAGTAGGGAAGCAACAAAGCCCACACGAAAGAAGCACACCAGCCTGTGTGATCACAAGGTGTCAATGGGATCAGGTATCAGTCATCAGAAGATCCAAAACAGTCATATTGCTGTGAATGAGGGGGATCAGAGAGGACACCCAAAGTTCATCTGTAAACAATTGGACATCCCCTCACAGAAGGGTGACAAGGAAGGGATGAGCCAGCCAGCGTCCAGTATAGCACTGATGAAACACACAACATTCCTCTAGTTCTTTAATGCTCCCCCACCACACTATCATGATACCAGTGTTTACATTACAAATCTGGCTAGACCAGAGCATGTACATTGGTACAGATAAGAGCTCTTGATGCACAGAAGCCTGGACAGATTACCCCCCCTCCCCAGGTAGGTGGGGGAAGGTAGGGGGTGGAGAAAGGTGAAACTGATTGCAATGATCAATGTATAACAACCCCCTCCAGGGGGACAAACAACAGAAACATGAGTGATGGGAGACAGTGGACAGTGTAAGATATGAAAATAATAATAGTCTATAATTTATCAAGGGTTTATGAGGAGGGAAGGGTGTGAGGAGGGAGGGGAAAAGATGAGTTGATACCAAGGGCTCAAATAGGAAGAAAATGTTTTTAAAATGATGATGGCAACATATGCACAAATGTGCTTGATACAATGCATGTATGGACTATTATAAGAGCTGTAAGAGCCCCCAGTGAAATGCTTAAATAAGAAGAAGTGAGAAGGGCTAGACTTCATCTTGTCTACTTTGGAAATGTTATAAGGTGAGTCCAGTCCCTGAAAAAGCACAGCATGCTTGGTAGAGTAGAGGAACCATGAAATAGAGAAAAACACTGAACAGATGGACTAACACAACTTTCACAGTAGGCTCAGCATAACAAACTTTGTGAATATGGTGCAGGACTGGGCAGCACCTAACAACAACCACTACATACATACACATGATAGTGCTCTATATGTGACGTACAAGCCCGGCTATGCAGCGATTCATTAAGTGCGTAGCTATTAACTGCAAGGTTGGTGATTTGCACTTACCTAGTAGCCAAGAAAACCCTATAAAGCAGTTCCATTGTGTCACATAGGGCCTCTATGAGTCAGAATAGCTCAGTTGCACCAAACACATTGCGCTACTAACCAGAAGGTCAGCAATTCGAAACCACCAGTTGCTCCTCGGGCTAAAGGTGAGGCTTTCTATTCTGGTCAAAAGTTACAGTCTTGAAAACTCACAGGGGTAGTTCTGCCCTGGACGACAGGGTTGTTATGAGTCAGAATGGACTCAAAGGTGGTGAGAAACAGCCATTAAAATGGCAAAAATGGGTTATGTTAAAGAGAATCACATCAGATCTCATTCCAGACACAAGCGAGTTGTGGAAAAAAAACCTAAAGCAATATAACAACTACTCTTTATTCCCTCTGTCCATCAAACCAATCTGCTCACTTTAAGTAGGGTACTTATTAGTGGTAATCAACATATAATTAGCCAAAAATGAAGGTCACATTGAAGTTAGATATCTTACGTGATCACAGTCTGTTCTTTAAAGGCTTGCTAAACATGTCTGGACTATGCTGGTCTGGTTAATAAAAACATAATGCATAAGTATGTGACTTACCTCAGTAGATAAACCATTGTTTGACAGAGTAAAAAGTAAATATGCATTATCAGCAGTTAATAGATATTCTGACTCAGTTCTGATTTCTCTGTGAACCACAAAGGGCACTTATAATATATTTTGCTATTGTCATTTTTACATCTTTAATGCATAAAGTTTTAAAACTCCCTTATAAATTAGGATTTGGTTAGTGGACAAAAGATTTACACCAGAGGTTAAAACACTATATTTGCTATGAATAAAGAATGATACAGTACATCATTTTGGAAGCTTAGAACACCCAAACATTATAATGCACATGAACTTTTTTCTTTTGTTTCACCATGAGAATGATAGATTAGTTTAGAATAGTGGGGAAATTTCTGGACTTGGAGTAAGAAGGTATTTGTTCACCATTTATTTAACAAATATTTATGATCACCAACTCTGAATTGGTCCAGAGACTATGTCTGTCCACAAAAGTGAATAAAACAGATTAAAACCACAAATTCTAGAACTTTGTCTTTGAATAGGGGGAAATGGATAACAACAAAGAGGTAAAACATCAGGGATGGAACTTTGCCCCTCACAGAATCCTGGAGGGGCAGGGAGGGGCACTATACAGAGCTGTGCTTTCAGAAACCCATGGGGGCAGTTCCACCCGGTCTTATCAGGCAGCTATGAGTTGGAATTGACTTGATGACAGTGAGTTGGGAGGGGTTTTATTTGATAAAATGTATCATTTTGGCTGGGCCATGCTTTTCAGTGGTTTGATAATTATATAATGAGGTACTCATCTTTTATAGTATGCTTAGTTAACCAGCTGTAATGGGACTAGGGTGGGATCCTTACTCAGGTTATAGCACTGATCTGATATAAGGGGAATTTCCC